CACTTCTATATCCAATACCCCTATTCTCAGATGGGCGCGATCTCTTCTTATCTGAATAAAACCAATTAAAATTAGTAGTTAGGATGCATTAGATTGTCATAAGCATAGAAATATGACCCAGTTATCTTAAAAATAAATAAATAATTAAACACTTACCCCTAAACTCAGGAGCATGCTTATAAGGATCAAAACCTAATCCATGAAGGTCCTGCTTTGGGTAGAGTACATAAACCTAAAGGAAAAGATGTGAGGCACAGAGAAAATCCAACAAAAATAAAATGAAATTTTTATCTCATGTTGAAAAGGGGTCCTTTTTGTCAAAATTTGAATTGATAAAGGATATGGAAATTCTTGAGTTGCTACAAGCTACAAATTGGTAAGTTGCAAAAGCAATGCAGTCATTCTGTTATTGGAAAGAAATCATTGGAAACCCAGCAGTACAATTATGGTTAAAGAACAAATGGATCCGGGGATGAAGTATCCAGTGGCTGCCGCTCCTCAAAAGGAGTCTATTACAAAATCATAATGGTTAAAGGAACTCATCAAGAAAACGAGCACTGGCAGGACAAAGAAATTTGATACCAACAACAACAACAACAACAACAACAACAAAGCCTTTTCCCACTAAGTGGGGTCGGCTATATGAATCCTAGAACGCCATTGCGCTCGGTTTTGTGTCATGTCCTCCGTTAGATCCAAGTACTCTAAGTCTTTTCTTAGGGTCTCTTCCAAAGTTTTCCTAGGTCTTCCTCTACCCCTTCGGCCCTGAACCTCTGTCCCGTAGTCACATCTTTGAACCGGAGCATCAGTAGGCCTTCTTTGCACATGTCCAAACCACCGTAACCGATTTTCTCTCATCTTTCCTTCAATTTCGGCTACTCCTACTTTATCTCGGATATCCTCATTCCTAATCTTATCAATTCTTGTGTGCCCACACATCCAACGAAGCATCCTCATCTCCGCTACACCCATTTTGTGTACGTGTTGATGCTTCACCGGCCAACATTCTGTGCCATACAGCATCGCCGGCCTTATTGCCGTCCTATAAAATTTTCCCTTGAGCTTCAGTGGCATACGACGGTCACACAACACACCGGATGCACTCTTCCACTTCATCCATCCAGCTTGTATTCTATGGTTGAGGTCTCCATCTAATTCTCCGTTCTTTTGCTAGATTGATCCTAGGTAGCGAAAACGGTGGCTCTTTGGTATTTCCTGATCTCCGATCCTCACCCCTATCTCACCCCTATCTCATTTGATACCAAAAGAAAAAAATTTACACGTTCCAAAACTCCAACTCAACTTATGAATATACACAAGAGGATCATCTGTTCTGTTAACATAGCATGAGAATTATCCATTGTGATTGAAAAACTGAATCAAGAAAGAAAACAAAAAAATAAAAGAATGACTTACATGGAAAAGAAAATTTACTTACAGGTGTGCTTTGAGAAGATTGAACATCATCAACGGCAGGCAGCTCAATATGATTGTCCAGTTCGCCATGAACGGGCTCAGAGTCAGCCAGCTGTGTTTTTGCATCACTGGAAGAAAATGCTAAAAAAGCTTTTCGAGCTTCCCTTCGAGCATCTGTACAAAGGACAAGAAATAGTTTAAGGCTTTAAGCCATGACATAAAAACCTCGAACAAGAGAAATCAGATGAAACTGTATGTATTCTGGTAAGCCCACACATGCTAATCAAAGTTAGCAAAGCACCTCATACTAATGATCTAAGTTCCAGGTTATAAAATAGGCATATAATTCACACACATCAAATGATACAAGAGCAGTTGATTTTAGAACAACTTTGAGTTTGCATGCCACGTACCATATGATAAATCAGTATGTGAATCCTTGATTGAACGACCATGACGCCATCCCATCTTCAGCAGCAATTTTACACCTAATAAAAACAGCAAGCAGGGGATAAAAGATGTGCAACTAATAACTTTAAAGAAAACATTATTTGAACAATCACTAACCCAAATTTACAGAAACAAACCTATAGAATCTGTGGCTGGAAGAACTAATTCATCAGGAACAGGTCCAGGAATAGCTGACGGCCTAAAATACATGACAAACAAGATATCAACAAGTTAGCAAACAATGCATGACACTATTTTCAAGGAGTACATTTTAAGAAAAATCTGTATCCCATGTACATCACTAGAACTTAATAATACCTGAACAACTTAATTGTGTTCAGCAATGGTATGAAAGTATTACAACTCTCTAGAACCTAAAGGTTAGGGTACACCGAAAAGTAGCATGCAGAACCTTATCATTTTTATCCAAATGACTAACTTGTATTAGTATGATCAACTTGGTTATCGATTAAACTAGAATTGCAATTGACCAACACCCTAACCTTTTCTGTTGTTCCTTCTCAGCTTGTTTACGAGCAAGTTCAGCAGCTGTAGATCCAAATGTATCAAACTGCATGGATGTCCCCAAAGATTGGCCTTCAAGCTCCTAAATGTTAAGAAGAAGAGTCAGAAAACTGATTTAAAATCTAAAGTGGCGGTAGTCCTCATTATCTAGTATCTACAGGAACTCCATGGTCATCCAATATGATACCTAAAGAACTCAAAACATAAGTATACTACTCATTTTTTTAAGAGCTAGACAACAGTAAATATTACATAAGAAAGAAAATTACCCTATTTCCTACTTTTAATCCATTTTTTTGCTAAATGAGAATTCTTATATAATTGAAACCAAATAAAGGTTGTGATTTTCCAACGAATAGGTTTTCATTCCCTTCGTTGTAAAGTTTATATTAGGTAAATAGAATAAATAAGCATGAAATAAGAATGCATATACATGTAATTTACCAATTTAAAAGGCGATGATTCCAACATTAACAGTGTTTGTAATATATTCACAAAGTTGAAGGATATAAATGAAATTGGTGTAATAGGTCAAAGCCAAGATCAAACATACAGCTCTTTCATCTTCATCTAAAAAGTTTGTAATGTCCTGCGCTTTGACTTCAGCTCTGTTCTTCCGCGATGACACAAAAGTCTGTGGTGTCCACCCTGCACATTTGTATCAGATGGCTTAAACCATTAGCTACCCTTGAACATCTTAAGAAAAGGAATCATATTTCTAGTTCAAATGAAAGAGTGATGTAACAATACCCTCTTTTGAGCCAACTGTATTGTAATAGCCGGCAGAAAACCCTCCACTAAATGCACCATGAAATCTCCTTCTCCCTTCTTCATCTCTAACCTGGAGACATAGAAAATTTAGAGAAGTGAACAAGACTGTTCATTTAAACATCAACAGTTAGCAGAACCATGGAAATCGGCATCCCACATGCATCACTCATCATAATTCCGCTATACGAGCTTAGCCAATTATCATCTTCAATGTCAAAAATTCGAAAGGGAAAACAACCCATTTCAACCTGCAGCTAGCTCACCCAAAATAAGTCCACAATTTCATATTCCTTTTCAAATTTTCTCATCAACCAAACTCATTACTAAAACTACCAATTGCAAACTCTCTTTCTTCACATTAAAACCAATTGCACAACTTCTAAGCTCAACACAACTGACCTTAAAACTCAACTGTCATACTCCAATACATAACATTCAAATTTCTCCATTCTTTCTACTTTCTCGAGCTTTCTCAGGAACCAAACAAAAGATGAGAGAAAAAACATACCTCTTGCTTCCAAGGAACGACAGTGCGCAAGTTACCGGAGGCCTCGGCGACGGACTTCTTCTTGCGACTGGTGAAATCTTCCTCGCGCTCTATCGGTGTTCCGTAGAAAACGAAATCGTCTTCGTCCGAAGCCATTGTTTGATTAATTTCTTAATATATTGATAATTAAGAAAAATTACGCGTAATCAAAATTAATGAAGGATTAGGGTTTCGTCCGGAGTAATCGTTGCTGGGCGAACAGCGGCGGCAAGGCCCTGAGAGAACGAGGGAGGGAGGTGAGTGAGGTCGAAGAAAGCGAAGTATTTTTGTATTTTTGGACCGGAAAAAAAAAATGTATTTTGGGCTGGACTGATTGGGCCGGATGGGATTGGCAGTCGACCCACTGAGTATGAGGCCGCCCCTTTTATGCAATCTTTGGGCTGATTGGCCTGATTAATTTGGTCTGGACTGACACTACAAAATATAACTATTCATATTTTCCAACTTTTTTCTTTGTTGGATTTTTTTTTCCAACCTAAATTGCAGAAAAAAAAATTATATAATAAGAAGGAATGAAATCAAATAACCAATATCATTTGTTAAAAAAATCAATTATTTTGTTTAATTGCAAATTGGAACCAAAATTATCTAATTTCTTACTTGATCATTACTAATAATTACTCTAATTTTCATATTTGACACAAATCTCAAACCTTAGACCTTACACACTAAACAAAAAATATTACATGTAAAATTTGAACAAAAAGAACTTAGCATTTCAAGTGGTTATATGGATTGTTTGGAAGTGTTTTTAAAATGGCTAAAAAGGGTTTTGATAAAAATGCTTTTGAATCATCTTTAGTAAAATGTTAAGTGAATCCCTGAAAGATATTTCGAGCTCGTTTAGATGTACTTTTAAAATTACTAAAAGCGTTTTTAGAAAAAATATTTTTTTGTTCCAAAAGCACTTAAAGTGTTTTCCTACTAAGAATTGATTCCAAAAACATTTTCATCAAAAACGTTTTCAGTAATTTTAAAAGTACATCTGAACAAACTCTTTATTGCTTCATACAATAAGCATATAATTTGTGCTTCTTGAAGGATCCTTCTGGTAAACCAAAAACATCCCAAAGTTAATTTCGGGTGATTTTCTCAAACGCGCCGAATCGCCATTGGCTCTTTCTGGAAGATGAAAGTGTAGAACCCTCTCGCTAACAAAACCTAACAATCCCTAAAAACCTCCACGCGTCCCCATTCCGCGTGCGCAGCACCCGCTAACCACTCACACCCCGAAAACACGGACGTCGAAAATTCCTCAACGACGCGCGTGGTGGACTCGTAAATCAACGCGCTTTTGGGGGGAGGGGGGGGGAGTTGTTTCGTTTGCCCTAATCGTCTGCGAGCGAGATCTGGCTCTCTTATCCTGAAGAACCCAACGCCCTTCCCCTGATAAATCCATATATTCAACACCATGGCCCCCTTCCGATTCTTGATCTTCCTGCAACTCGGATCGCCGTCGATCGGTTGATTGATTCGTCGTCTACGCCGTCCGATTCGTGTTCTCTCGCTCTCCGATTCAACTCGGTTATCAAGTCAGGTGAGTCGTCTCCGTTCTGCGGGAATCTTCAGATCTGTGATATCTTTTTTTCCGTTTTGTATATTTCCGGTGAACTTTTGAATATGTAGGTGTTGTTTTTGAGAGTTTTACGGTGTGCGCTGGTTCAGGATGGATCCGATGGACATCATCGGGAAGTCAAAGGAGGATGCTTCGCTTCCGAAAGGTGGATTCGTAATTTTTGTATATTTATTTGTTTGATATTTGAGATTATTGTTGTTAGGTTTATCGATTTCATGATTTTTTTTTTTTTGTTAATTTGGTGTAATTATTTTTGGATTTTGTGATAGAACGGTTTCGGCAACATTAGTGCCCTAGGGTTTGGGGATTTGCTGCTGTTCTTCATTTTTTGCTAATTGCTTATGTAAATTGATTAATTAAAGCTCGATTGAAAATAATGATAGACAAAATCCAGTATATTGAATTAAGGGCTTCAAGAAATTGATTTATCGGATACGAAATCGCGGGTAAAACGGTATAAACAAAGGGAATAAAATTTTGATTTGGATGGATTAGGTATGCATGGTTTGCTTGCTGGTTAGGGGCCCCGAATTTGCTTTAAGGACTGCTTTTAGCATGTGATTAGAACTGTCATTAAGTTGGGTGCTAGTTCATGTTTCCTCATGTTGAGGCAACCCCTTAACCGGGTGCGACAAATTATTTTCGCTTTACTTGTCTAATCATATGTCCCTGTAATCATTTATCTCTATCACTTAATGATATTAGTCTATACTTTTATCATCTCTAGTTGTTGCTCCTCATGGTTTCTTTATGTTCTTGAATTCACCATATGGCATCTTATACTGTTCAGGGTTAAAAACTTTTTTGGTCACTGTGTTTATACCTAAGATCTATTTTGGTCACTGTGTTTTCAATTCGTCCATTTGTTCACTGTGTTTCTCAAAGTTTGCAATCTCAGTCGCTTGCTTGCGTTGACTTTCTATTTGAAACATTAAATATTCATTAATCAATTAAAAAAAAAGTTATATGAAAAGATTTAAAATACATTTTTGGACCAAAGGCAAAGGGAGATCAAGGGGTAGAATCTGGAGAAGTGGGTTAGGACTACCGCCACCCCTACACCGATCAACCACCTCTATCTTTCTGATGATCTTTTGGGACCATAGTATCTGGTATTGAGTTTTTGTATCGGTGAGGGGCTTTGGGCATTTTAGGTTGGTGGAGGGAGATGTTTGTGGGAGCACTGGGAGGTGGGGTGGGATTTGTGGAGGGATTGAAAGAGAGGAGATACTTTTAAATGAGAGATACTGATCTGGGTTGGTGGGAGGTTGGGGGTGGCGGCGGTGATTTTTTTTTATTAGTTTTTTTTTTTAAGTATTTTAATTTTAGAAAATGTGTTTAAAATAGGCTTGAAGTACTTTTTATAATTTTAAAATTGGTTAAAAATATTTTAATATTACTTTTAACAGAAAGTTAACGGAATTGACTGAGATTGCAAACTTTGCTAAACACGGTGACCAAATCTGATGAATTGAAAACACAGTGACTAAAATAGATTTTAGGTATAAACACAGAGGTTGTTAAACCTACTGTTTATTATACACTATATTGCCGCCAGATGTACGTCGAGCTTATGATTAATATTCATTTTTTCAGCAACCATGACGAAAATCATTAAAGAGATGTTACCACCAGATGTACGCGTTGCAAGAGATGCTCAAGATCTTTTGATTGAGTGTTGCGTAGGTGAGAATATATGAATTTGTTATCTTTAGTTTACGTTTTTACATTTGTACTTTGATTCAAACTTGCTTTAGTTTTTCTTTTGCTAATGCATATGTCTTTGTCTCTTGGTGTCTGTATAGGTTAAACCCTTATCCGTTTAGGCCAATAGCATGTTCTGCATGTCAAATGTAGTGGTTTCAGTTAACACAGAAGATGCTCTTTTTATTGTCAGTTATAGCAGTTGGATTTCCTCCCAACCTCTTTGTTTGCCCCATAACTTTGGGTTTTGAATTGTTGTCTACTGTCTTGGTGCTTTGATTTGATGGATGTTTTATTTTCTTTATTACTGAAGAAAAGCCGTCATGAGTTACGTTATTGCTTTTGCAGAGTTTATAAATCTCATCTCGTCAGAGTCAAATGAAGTTTGTAGCAGAGAGGAGAAAAGAACAATAGCTCCTGAGCATGTACTCAAGGCTTTACAGGTTTGTAAACAACCCATTTGGACATGTTTTTAAGTTTTATAAATATGGTTCTCGTAAATTGTTGTTGTCCATGGTGCTTCTGTACTTTCATATTGCAGTATCAGTCAGTATGTCTATGAGTCTGTGCATATGGATGTATCTTTATACTTGTAGGCATTACCTACATGAATTTCATACTTATATCATGATAGCTATCATGACATTGGTCTGCATGGATCCTCGATGAGATGCATATCTGTATGATAAGCTTAAATTGTTACCACTGATTTGTGCGTATACCAATAATGGAAGGTAGTTTGTTAGTATTGTAATTAGTGGCCAGGAGCAAATATGTCCTATATCGTGTGACCTGTTTACGACGACTGCATTATGACATTCGTTCTCTTCTGTGTTATCAGGTTCTTGGGTTTAGCGAGTACGTTGAGGAAGTTTACTCGGCATATGAACAACACAAGCTTGAGACTATGGTAAGTGTTCACGATGCTGTGCCTGCTGTGCAGCTGGTTTAAACCTGCAGTTGCCTTTATCTATGTACACATGTTTGCACACTCCCGCACTTACAACTAGTTAACCGGTTCACATATCTATCTTTAATTTGTTAAGCAGTCATGATCTTCCGACATAAAAGTATATACTGATGCAAGTGGGATTCCGTCATGCAGCATGACTTATCAAAAAGTGTCAAATGGGGCAACGGAGCGGAGATGACAGAGGAAGAAGCCTTGGCTGAGCAGCAGAGGATGTTTGCCGAGGCACGTGCCAGAATGAATGGTGGTGCCACTGCACCCAAGCAACCAGACCCCGAACAAAGTTTAGAGAGCTAACTTTAGGACCTTTGCTTTTTTGTGAACCGTAGGCAAGTATCCTCGACTTCTCGATTTGTGCTTCTCGTATATGTACAAAAAAAAAACCATTGAGTAGTGAGTGTGCTGGTCTATGTCCTTATGCACGCTTATGTTGTATTGTCTTTATGGATCCATGTCTATAAGTTAATGTAATTAGTAGAGTTTGTCCGACTCCTGGTGCCGCCGCTGTATGTAATTATTTGGCGTTGTTTAGTTAATAGTTTGGACGACAGAACTCGTTCATATGGTTACTCGCGTCTGTGCTTTCTTTTTGCTCTCACAAAACATCTAAAGCGATGCAACGACTTACAAAAGAGTGTTTTCTAAAGCACCAACAGATGTGGTATGGTAAGGCTCGCATTGAGATTTGAGAGGCTTACAAATAGGCTCTGCTCGATAAGGAAAGTGATGCCTTAATGTTTCAATGGAAGAGTTAGGGTTTGGTTTCTGGGTCCCCACAAACATTGAGGTGTCAGTTCGCAGGTAGGTGAAGTGTAGACTCTGCACCCAACATAGCCCAAGAGATTTCAGTGTTCTCATGAGAACCCCAACAAGCAACACCACCACACGGCTGGTGCACAGCTCAACTAGAAGAGGACGTGGGTATGGGCATGGGCATGGTATGGTCCATGGTGAGAAACTTACCAACCACGTACTGAAACCAATCACGCAATGTCATCTAGAATAGTTTGTGATTGTATCGCAAGTTAATGACATGATGTAATGTATTTTGACTTTCTTGCAAGACAATATACGTGATTAGTTTGAGATACTGTCACAGTGATGTCCTGATAGTAGATTAGTCTCTCTCATTGTATTGGTATGGGTACAGAAACTAATCAAGCATTGCAGTATATGAAAGTTTTTGGTACTGTCACAAGTGAATGAAACAGCACCGTAAGCTTGTACTATCTCACATAATAATGATTGATTTAGAATATCAGCATGATAATATACCCGTTAAATGAAAGTCTTTATCTTAATTATGATATGAGTTATGGAAGCTAGTGACTTGTGGCGAGCATGTCTGGTGTGAATGGTGATGGTTTGGGTTTGTGTGGCCTTTGGTTGCCATCTCTTTGCAGTTTTGGGGATTTCAAGTCAAAAGAGTCAGTCAAGCAAACATCCCTCTCCCTCTCCCCCTCTCCTCTTTACCCCACTAGAAAGTGAAATAACATACACATTGTCTCCTCAGATTCCTTTCTTTTCTATTTTTCAAATCTCCCTCTCTCTCTCTCTCTCTCTCTCTCTCTCTCTCTCTCTCTCAGAGTTGCTCATTCAGATGGTGGGTCAGGCTGTGTTTCTTTTGTCAGGATTCTCTTTGGCTACAACAAAGGGATAGAAACAAAGAATTAATGAAATGAAATCCCTCCACATGTCAATAAAAGTGACAGAAGAGACCAGAATCACCACTATCTCTCTCTCTCTCTCTCCTCACTTTCTCTCTCTACCCACCAATCCATCTTTAAGGACTGCCCTTCTTCCCACTGATTGCTTTCTCATAAGAAATGAGCATGGCAAGGAACTTGCAGGACTCCTCCTCCAAGAGACACTTCCACTGGACAAACAAAGTTGGCAACGAAGAAGAAGAAGAAGATGTTGATCATGTAGTTCTTCCGAGTCTCAACTCCTCTTCCTCCTCCTCCTCCTCGTCGAAAACAAGATCCGATGAGGAGGAGAAGAAACAAGAGCATGATCATCATCAAAAACAACAGCATGGTCATGTGGCTCATCAACTTCCGAGGAGGAAACTGCAGGCGGCTGCGGTTTCCAGGATGAGGTCAGTTCTTAACGCTTTTGGTAAGAACCGATCCAGCCTACCACTCGGCCTTGGACCTCGAGTGGTAGGCACACTTTTCGGCTCCAGGCGTGGCCACGTACACTTTGCACTCCAGAGAGACCCAAGCTCACACCCGGCCTTCTTGATCGAGCTCGCCACCCCGATCAGCGGGTTGGTTAAAGAAATGGCATCCGGGCTCGTCAGAATTGCGTTGGAGTGTGACAAGGATCACAAAGACGATCATCAGAAAAAGAAAGACGAGAAAGCTCCGAGGTTGCTGGAAGAGCCAGTGTGGAGAACTTTTTGCAACGGTAAGAAATATGGTTTTGCTAGCAGAAGAGAATGTGGGGCCAAGGAGTGGAAGGTGTTGAAAGCTGTGGAGCCCATTTCAATGGGGGCTGGTGTGCTGCCGCCGTCTGCGGCGGTGGAAGGGAATGAAGCTGAAGCAGGGTCCGAATCCGACGGGGAACTAATGTACATGAGGGCTAAGTTTGAGAGAATTGTTGGGTCTAGAGACTCTGAGGCCTTCTACATGATGAACCCTGATAGCAATGGAGCTCCTGAGCTCAGTGTCTACTTGCTCCGAGTCTAATAAACCCGAAAAGCTGCACGAATTCGCGTCGCCGCCGCTCGAATTTCCAGTATGTGTGCTTCAGTTTACCTCTGATCAAACTGGAAATTGGAGGTGTAGCTAGTTCTCTCCATTTAGTTTTTTCTTTTCTTTTTGGTATTAAATTTCTGTTTTATTTTGTGCTTTGGTATATTTGGAGAAGTGGGGTTTATTGTATTTTTCATATTTTATTTTGTTTAGACTTTAGTTGGTGGGGGGAAATACATTAGAACATGATGGTAGCTGTGGGGGTATATGTTAATTTGTAATCCTTTTCTTAATTTCTTCTCTTTTCTAGTACCGAGGTTTTTTTTTTCATCCTAAACTGTTTTAGGGGTGTATTCAATTGGGAATTTAAGATATTCTAATGGATTTTTATGGAGTTTAATTGATTTGTAGAGATTATATGTAAAATTTTGATTCAATTCCCTCAAAATCTCATGAGAAGAATTGAGATTTGTGAATGCTTAAAATACACTACAAAATCTCTCTAATTCCCTCTAATTCCTTAATTTTTCCAAATTGTTTAAATTCAAATTCTAATTGAATACACCTGAAATGTTATAAACTTCTTTAAAATTCTAATTGAATACATCCGGATTTCTAAAGATTTTAATAAACTATCTTAAAATCTTAATTGAATACACATTGAATTTAAGAGAATCACTTAAAATCATAATTGAATGCGCCTAGATTTATTAAAATAATTAAAATCCCTCAAAATCCCAATTGAATACATAATCTATTAATAACGTTATTGTACGATCTAAAAATCTCACGAGACTACTACATACTATCATTAAAAAGATTCAACGCCTGACATCTTTTTTATATACTATCTTCTTTAATCACGTGTTTAAGAAAGCTAATTTTGTAGCAAATGCGTTGGCCTCTAAAAGTCATACTATATAATACATTGGGATGCTTTTGGCTGTTTGGGGTGCTCGAGGAGCTTTTCCTTGTAATAATGTTTACCTCTTTTAATCTAAGGAAAACTAATGAAAAGGGCTTGAAAACTTTGAGTTTTAACGATAAGGACAAACTAAAAGGTAAAATGAATAGTATCATGTTTGACTTTTTAGTGTTAAAATGTGGTTTTTCGTTAAAGTGAACAGTACCGTGTGCTTTTCGTTAAAACTCCTTTTAATCTATGAGGGTTAGAATTGTACGTAGATTACAAGAGAAACGAGCACACTGTCTTAACTTATATTTACCAAATCAACCTCAAGTTAATCCTAAGCTTTGTATCACTACTAAAAAAATGTATAAATTGAAATTATCTTCAAGAGTGACAAGAACAAAAGGAGGCCAAACCTATACAAAAGGAACCATAAATGTTTTTGGTAATTAAGAAAAAGCTTATATGAGATCACATACTGCTTAAACTTTAGTACTCAAGTGTTTTTTAAGATTCACTTACGTTTTTACTAATGATTGGTTTCAAAAACATTTTTACCAAAAGCGTTTTCATTCATTTTAAAGCACTTCCAAACAAGATCTTATTTGCTTAAGTAATGCTAGGTAGACCAATTTTTGTAGATTATATTTACAAATCATGTGATGTGCCACCAATAGTAAATAAGCACATTAATCAATACTTAAGTAATAATTTAATCATCAACAACCACGTAATTTCATTTACGAAATGTTATTTAAATTTTAAATTGATGGTCTTCCAAACACTTCTCTTATTTGCTTTCCTGTTTAATTTCTTTTCCCTGTTTAGCTTGGATCCTTGAGCAGTAATGTTCATTTTACTTTCTTCCAATAAGATTTAGGCATTTGGTCTAAAAGTATAGGCTAATTCCAATTTCCAATCATTGCTTTTGATATTTAATTTTGTGTGACAAAAGATCCCAAGATCAAATATTTTTACTAAAGTAATCATAGAAGTCATCAAAAGCAAAAATATATATTAAAAGGAGAAATCCAATTCCTGACAGCAGAATTTTGGCTTTTCTTATGATTGACTGCTTTTTTTTTTTTTCCTTGTTTAATTTTTTTTTTCCTGAATAAATCTTGTTGACTGCTTTTCCATTTTGGCATTTGATTTCCTGCTGAATTTAAATCACCCTTGTTACATTCTCCTCAGTAATGTGGCTTTTTATGGCATGACATCTTCAGTGTTTAAAATTTGATATAGATGAAAATATTAATATGTAAATTTATAAAAATATCTATATGAATATGTTGTTATTGATATCTTAGCAGATAGAGTGTTGGGATTTCACCTATGCTTCTCGAATTCAAAGCTTTCATTCCCCTAATTATTTTAATAGCTTCGAACCTCTCCCTCGTCCTTAATAATAATAAAAAAAAAATTAAAAAAAATATTGATATTGGTTGCCTCTGACTGTAGTTATGAAAATTTACAATGGGATGAGTATATCAATTCATTTCACATTTAGTTGGAATTGGAGAAAAAATTCTCAAAATATTTCATAAGTTCAAATTGGCAATGGGTCTCGACAAAAAATTTGTAGTGAACCGGTAAATATTGTCAATGTTCATTGATTTTTCTATATCTCACTGAAATAGAGTGAAGATTGCATTTCACCATATTTTCCATATTGATCTTGATTTTTCAGATATTTTGACGGAAATATCAATAATTTTGTGAATATTTTTAATATTGGACACATCAACTGTAGATTTAAATGAGTTACAAAGTAATGAAAAGAAGACAAATTATCATTTGCGGTGCCTGTATCCGACAGACACTAAGAGAAAAGTGAAACTCGAGAGGAACGTACATGAGTTAAGTGTACTAGAGTGTACGGTATACGCGGATTTAATAATTTATGGTGGAAAGAATGGGGGCAAGTATGCCACCATGCCCTAGTTTCAAGGCTTTCAAGCAT